CCCGGCGGCCGCCAGCGCCGTCACCGGCCAGGGGCCTACGCAGAGCAGCCGCGCAACGGTCACCCCCAGGGCAGGGGCCACGACGGCCGCCTGGCACCGCATCCTGGTTCCCATGAAACCAGTATCTCCTCATGAGCAGGCTGCCGCAGTGGGGTGTCCTGGGGAGCCACGCGGGCCTGGCCGGGGGGCTCCCGCCCCGCGCCCGGAGGCCCGGCCCCGGTTACCTTCCCTGGCCATGGTCGCCACAGACGCAGACACGTGCGGCCTTGAGGGACAAACAGGTCTGGCTGGTGGCTGCAGGGCGACTCCTCCCTTCAGGCTGGGGAGGGCAGGAAGTAGGGGCCTGGAGCCGCACCCCAGCCCCCACCGCTCCCCTGCCCCGGCCCCACCCTCCCCCTGCGCAGCGCCCCCCCCATGGCCAGGCCCTCCCCAGGAGAGCAGGCAGGTCCGAGGCCAAAGTCATGGTCTCTTGGGCAGCGGGGAGCTGCGGCTGGACGGCTGCCGGCTGGGGCCACTGGCCCTACAGACCCCTTGGGTGGCCAGACCGCCCCCAGGGGTCCAGCTCCTTGGGGAGGCTCCCCGGCGGCCTCTGTTCAAAAGCCCAGTTCCAATCTGGGTGGGGCAAGTGGCAGCAGGCCCGGCAGGCGGGAGCGAGACAGTCGTCACACGTGTCCTTTGGGCTGGCTCTGGCGCCTCGTCCTGGCGGGAAGGAGAGGCCCGGGCCGGGCCCGCCCCGCACCCCGCAGGCGGCTCTCACGACCGCCCGGCTGCTGTCCTGGGCCTGCCTGCCCTGTTATGGCTGCGGGGCTCATGGCCCACGCCCGGCCTTCAGCGCTGGGGACAGAGCCCGCGGGGCGACCAGGCCGCGGGGGGCTGGAGGGCTGGGCAGGGAGAGCCCTCTCCCAGCCCCACCAGCTCCCAGCGGCCGCCCCCCGTGATCCGGCTCCGTCTTCCTCCCTAAGGCCGAGCTCGTCCTCCTGCCCCAGGGCCCTGTGATGACGCTGAGCCCCGCAGAATCCGGGGCGCCCTCCGTCGCGTCAGGCGACGGGTCAGAGCCGGCTTCCACCTGCTGGTTGCACCCCTCACCCGTGACCTCACATTCACTGGTTCGGGGCCCAGGGTGGGCTCCCTGGGCCCTGCCCTGCAGACCGGCGCAGGTGGGGACGGGCCTCGTGGGGCGTCGGGTTGGCCCCCCGCCCCCGCTGCACGGGAGGGCTCCGGACCTAGCGCGGACCAGCAACGTGAGCCTTGGGGGAGTTCTCACAGAAAAGTTACTTTCCCACTTGACAGTGACGCCCCAACATCAGGGAGGCTGGGGACCTTTCCCAGAGCCCGGGGACGGTCGCACCACCAGCCCAGGCGGGGTGGCGGGCCCACGGGCCCGTCCTGGCTCCCGCTTTCCTCGGGGTGTGCTCCGGGGTCGCCCTCGCCCCGGGGATGCCCAGGGCCCCCCGCCGGCCCCACCGTCACCAGCTGGCTCCTGTGGCAGGCAGCCCCGCCTCCGCCCCGGGCCACGTGGCCACTGCCCGTCCCAGCTGGCCGTGAGCTCCACCTGTGGCTGCACTCGGGGCAGGAAGGACTCAAAGGGCACAGAGTCGGGGGCAGGCGGCCAGGCCGGCACGGCCGCACCCGTCCGGCTGACGTCTGCTG